CATCGCCTATTCTAATTCCTTCAATTTCTTTTTCTTCTTTCTGCTAAAGCTAACATTTCTAGTACAATATTGAATAATAGTGGTGATAATGGACATCCTTGTTTCACCCCTGATCTTACTGGAAATGCTTCTAGCTTACCTCCATTGCATATAATGCTTGCTGATGGTTTTCAGTAGATGGTACTTAACATTGTAAGGAAAACTCCATTGATTCCAGTTTTCTCTAGTGTTTGTAATAGGAATGGGTGCTGTATTTTGTCAAAAGCTTTTTCTGCATCTATTGAGATAATCATATGTTAATTGTGTTGGTCAATTATGCTGATAGTTTTCCTAATATTGAACCAGCTCTGTATTCCTGGTATAAATCGCACCCGGTGGAAATATTAATATAGAATATCCCTTGCAAAAGCCTGCCTGTTCCCTTCTAATGTATTCATTTATGTGTGTATGCATCCATTTATGTGTTAAGATTATTCCCATAAGTTTTTTCAATTAATAAGCATTTATTTTCTCTTTCTACGTCTTCCTTATCCAACGGAAAAAAAAGAAAAGCCAAAACTTTTGTAAAATATTTGTAGTCAAGTAAAACAAACTCCCGCATTGGCCATGTCAAAAATATATGCCTTATTTTATATCTCGAGACCATTACCTCTTTGTCAGGAGGGGGAGAGCATGCTTCATCATCGGTTCTCTGAAACTGTGATTGGTCCCTGCATTGGTAAGAGTTCTTCAGTCTTTCAAGGTTGTTTGTTCTCACAATGTTATTATTGTAGAAATTATTCTCCTGTAGGTTGGTAATTCTTAATCTTCTTTCAGTCATTTTTTCCTAATTCAATTTCATATTTTTTCCTATTCCTTGAGTGTCTTTCCCTCCTTCATTTATCTTGAGAATTTATTTTCTTAATATTTTTAGAACTGTGTATTCTCTGGCATAGATCTCCTATTTGGATAATTGGTTTAGTCCAGCATCATTTTCCATTTTTTTCTCCAATGACATTTCCATGAGCACCATAAACACATCTGGGACCTTAATGTTAAAATTAAGTGTATTGACACAACTTTCTCATGAAAAACTAATTAAGACATTAAATGGATGGAAGACAGAAAAGGTCTGCCAAGATGTTTATGATAAACCTCAACCATCAAGCACAGGGAATTTCTGCAGTTATAATTTATTGATGTTAAAATCAAGATATTATGCTAGTTTGTGACACAGCTATCTAGTACCCTTTTGCCTTAATCCAGGACATGACACACTTGAGGTTGACCCAGCAGCTGGTCAGCTCTGCCAAGACTGCTAGCTAACATGAGAATTTCCGGGCCTTTGGTGCTTGCATCATTTTATACTCAGGAGTAAATAAGTGAAACAGATAAAAAAAAACCCAAACAAACTCAATTTCAAGGAAGCAACTCTAAGTATATTTGAATTAACCAATGATGAGTAAGTTAAGTAAGGATGTGCATAGCGGTCGGTAAAAATTTCTTTGGTGCTTATTGGATTTATTGGTCACTTTAGCTATTTCTGTCTTAGTGTCTGCCTCTAGAAGAATGTGCTTTTAATATGACAAAGAAGGAAAATGTTGGATGATGGAGGGGTTGGGGGAAAACTGGGACACTAATGCACTGGTGGTGTGAACTGATCCAACCATTCTGGAGAGCAATTTGGAACTGTGCCCAAAGGGCTACAAAACTGTGCATACACTTTGATCCAATAATATCACAGCTAGGTCTATATTCCCAAGACATCAAAAAAAGGGGGGAGGGAAGGACCTATTTGTACAAAAACATTTATAGTAGCTCTTTCTGTGTTAGCTAAGAATTGAAAATTAAAGGGGTGCCCATCAACTGGGGAATGGCTAAACAAGTTGTAGTATTTGAATGTAATGGAATACTATTGTGCTGTAAGAAATGACAAACAGATGATTTCTGAAAAAAAAAACAGACATAAATGATGCAAAGTGAAGTGAACAGAACCAGGAGAATGTTGTATACAGAAACAGCAATATCGTATGATGAAGAACTGTGAATGACTTAGCTATTCTCAGCAATACAATGATCCAAGACCATCCCAAAGGACTAATGATGTATATAAAGGACAGTATGCTTATACTGTCTGCCTCCAGAGAAAGAACTGATATAGTTTGAATACAGACTGAAATATGCTATTTTTTCACTTTCTTTCATTATTTTTCTTTTATTTGAGTCTTCTTGTACAAAATGACTAATATGGAAATATTTTACATGATTTCATATATGCAACCAATATCTGATTGTTGTCTCAGAGAGGGGGGAGGAGAGAAAGGGAGGGAAGGAGTGAATGATGCAATTTGGAATGCAAAACTTTAAAAAAAATGTTAAAATTGTTTTAATATGTAATTGGGGAAAAGTAAAATATATTAAATTGGAAAAAAAAGAAGGAGCCTTGTTTGACTAGATAGGCTTATAATTCCACAATTGTTTATTGTGAGTCTGTCTCCTGTCTCCCCCATCCTTGAGTGATATGTCTTCCACTCCTGTTAGAACCTCCCACTGTGTATTGATATTTGATGAGATACCTCCTCTCTCTTCTCACTTGTCTTTATGTCTCATATCCCCCTTAGATGCAGCATGGCTGGGTTATTCTAATTACCCTGGGACTATTTTGAAACCAGATCTTCATAATGGAAAGATGGATGAGAGAAATAGCAATTAGTTGCTCTAAGCCCAGGTGTCAATTTCCCCCCCCCCTGCCTTCCCCACAAAAGGGGGGGATTTGTAGTCCTCATTCCATAAGTAAAAGTTAAAACAGGCTCACTACCACCAAGAATGACTCCTTGCACCAAGCTATCTTCTGAGCTAGGGAATCCTTGAATTTTTTTTCTCCACAGCACCAGAACTGGTTTCAGAATATAGATGAGCCTGAGACCACAGCTTTGCTTAAATAGGAACACTTGGTCATTTGGTGCAGTGGAGTTGGAGGTAGGAGGACATGGGCCCAAATCTTGTCTCTGACTTTAACTAGCTGTAACACCCTGAGAAAGTCATTTCATGTTTGTTTGCTTCAATTTCCTTATCTGTAAATTGGGGATTTCTAAGATTACCTACCTAACAGGGCCTTGAGAGGATCAAATGAGGTATTGTATTATTAGTAGTAATTAGTATTATAATTATATTAGTAGTAATGCTATCACACTAACATTTATAGAGTTGTTTAAGGTTTGCAAAATACTTTACAATATTATATCCTTTTTTCCCCTTCCCAATAACTCTGGGAGGTAAGTGCTATTATTATCTCCATTTTATAGTTGAGTAAATTGAGGCAGACAGACATTAAGAGACTCATCTAGAGTCATACAGCCATAAAGTGTCTGAAGATGGATTTGAACCTAGGTCCTCCTATCCACTGTGAGACCTAGCTGCTTCTTCGAAGTTGTCTAGACATAATATTAGCTATCTTAAGTGCTTATTGCATGAATAGGTAAACAGACTAAGAAAGTGAGGGGACAGGTGAGAGGCTAGCGTCTGACTTTTTTTTTTTATTTACAAAAAGGGCTAGTAGCTAGTTTCTGACAGTTTACTTTATCTAACTGATATTCTCACAGCTTTCATCCACTCTGAATCTTTTCTCAGGGTCAGAGCCATTAAGAAGTTTCTGCTAAACTCTGTCTTCAGCAGGCCTTCCCTGGTAACCTCATTTAGGCCTTTAACTACTTGCTTGCAACTTATGAGAAAGAAGGAGTTTATTTATCATGTGAGTATTTAATCTTTGTCTTTTGAAAACCCCTTTCTCACACTGCCTTTTTTTTCCCCCACAGGGAAAAGATACGTGTAGTTCCTGGTGTTCCTGTGTTCTAGGTAGCCCTCAAAGTGGAGCAACGTAGCAAGGGGAAAGGACAGACTGTGGAGTCAGAAGACCTGAATTCTAATCCTATGCCTGACATATGATCTGGGTCAAGTTGAAGTCACCCTCTCTGCAAAATGAAGAGTTTGCATTTAAATGCTTCCGGAGGCCCCTTTCTGTTATAAATCCATGATCGGTTATGCCTAGAAGAAGAAACATTATGGAAATACGTTAGAACTGCGTCTGCAGAGCCTTATCTACCCTGTGATGGTATTTTTTCAGTCAGGATAACATTTTGTCTGACAACCAAATTTACTAACTAGCTCAAATCTCTCCCCTGCTTCTGCTGAATGATTTTGGTTTATTTGTTTGTTCCCCTTTCTATCAGCTAGAACAGTCTATTGAACTTTCCAGCCTAGCCTCTGCCCGGCTTACTTTTAATTCTTAAAGAGGTTGTGCTCTTTTTATTTTCAAAAGTTAAAAACATACTTGAAAATTGTTGATTAATTTTTTCCATTGGTGAAACTGAGTGATTGCCTTACTCCAGTGATGAAACACAGTGCTTTTGTAAGTTCACTTTAAGAAATTCTGAAGCAAAAAAAATGGGGGGGGGGAGAGGGGCAGAGGGTACTAAAATTAAGGGGTGTAAAAAATCTGCTACTCACAATGTGTGATTATTTAATCTCACTGCCAAAACTTACAGGAACTTGCTAGTCTGTTTGCTGTAAAAATTGGAGTCCATCGTTTTCCTCCTTCCATTTGGCAAACAGACTTTCTAGTCTTTCTAGAGGGGTTTATACAAATCTTGCCAAATTTGTTGGAATTTTACCACTTACAAGCTGATTATTTTATTTTCCTATGTATTCTTCAATTCTTCTCATCCCTTTTATAATTGTACTAAAACAGAAGGAATGATTAGGAATATGTTCACTATGTTAATCTTAAGGATTTTTATTTGTTCTTTCATCCTCCAGTTAGCATAAACTATTTAAAAAAAAATCCTAACATCCTCCTGATCCTATTTGCCACAGAATCTCAAGAAACGAGACTGGAAGAGACCCCAGGTTAACAAGCTATTGCCTCTGTGCTGAGACCTGCTAATTCTCCAGACCAATCACTGACCTACTCTTGAAAGTCTCCAATCAGAAACATCCCACAACTTCTCCATGTGAACTCTCCCGGTGCCTAAGTGCACACTCTCAAATGCCTTTCCCCTGCTCATATACAGCTCTGGAGCTCACTGTTTCATGGTTTGCTCATTTTCTCTGATCTCTTCCTCCAGTCTGGGTCTTCTCTCCCCACTTACAGTTGGACCTTTTTTTTTTTTCTCTTCCCCAGGACTAAAGTGGGGGAAGAAAAGTAAGTTTTTAAAGTGGCAGGAATGATGAGGGGAGCAGAGCAATTTTGGCAGTCTTGGTGCTTCTTAATTCCGGGACTTCATCACCAGGTGGGTATGGCTGAGGGAGCTGGGTGACATTTTTGACCTAACAATTCACCTATTCCCCTGCGAATGCTTCAATAAGGCTGAGAAAATAATTTTGATCCCTTTAATTTTGTTGGTTGAGATTTCTCCGGCTATTTGTTAGCAGGTCACTAGAGGGCTCTCAGGAGTTAGGAATAGGTGGAATGTGCTTTCAAATAAAACCTAGTCCATCCCCTGGGGCTTTTTTTTGTTTGTTTCACAATTCAAAAAAGATGTTTTGTGTTTTAAAATATATGTATTAAGGGGAAAAAAAGATAAATGAGGTTCATAAGAGTGTATCGCTGTCTAGTTTATACATACATAACCAATTAGTAAATTTTCTAAGGAGTATTTGCGCTAGATTGAAATATTTGAAATGTGGATTACTTTTGCCCATGAAATGTGCTCTACTTACATACTTCAGCCTTTAGAAAGTTCTTTGCATTAGTGTCAGGGACTTCCACTTTCCTAGAGCAAAGCATGGGACCAGCTGCATAGGTAAGGCTGCATATCACTTTTTTTTTTCTAATGGAAAGAAAATTAGACCAATGTCCCCTTTTATTTGTTTTTCAATTACTTTTGGAGGACAGGAAAGGAATAATAGTAGTAATAATAATAATAATAGTATATTTTTAAAAACCAGCTGAGTTTTTGTGTGACTGGATAGGAGAAAAACATAACTAATTTTACAAGGCATCAGTATGTGATTTGACTGTACTAAGCTCTTTTAATGTGAGGTGATGAAGAAAATGTCAAGAAACCTCTGTCCGAGCAGATGAAGATTGCATGCTTCTGAAAATCTAAATGTTTATATTTGGAGCTGCTATAAACCTAATTAATACAAAAGTATTTAATGCAGATGTGTCACAGCAGCACATAAAAAAAAATTAAAGAAACTGTCCATTACCTGTGTCATATATTTTCTGGAACCAAAAAGAGAAGTGCTTGACAGGCACATTCAGTACAAAAATAATTGATTCTGGTTTGGCAGTGGCAATCTGCTCTTTGATGTGGGTATTCTATTTTAACTTGGATTTGGGAACTGCTCTATGTCATATCTGCACTTGAATCTTGGGTTTTTCATTTGCTTTCTTCTCAATTTTGTTTTTTCAACAATTAGTGGGTATATTTATGAAAGGAAAAGAGTGTCAATTTCATCTCCTTCACTCTGGTAGGGGAGGAACTGGAGTGGTTTGAGCTGGTGACTCAGTTAATTCTGTTTCCATTCATTCTCAGAAACAAATCACATTTCCCTTGGGGAGGCTGATAAGAATCCAGAAGCTTGCTGTGGCCAAGTTTCACAGTCATTAAAACATTCCCAGCCCCGTCCCCAACCCTTTCCTTCCGCCACTACTCATTGGAGACTACTTAGGAATCAAAGAAGGGGGTCTGCTGAATGCTGGAAAGCATGTATCATCCCAGCTGGAGCAGTCTGCAGACTTTAAAGTCTCTTCACCATGTGGATGCACCGGAGAAATGACCTGCCCAGACAAGCCAGGCGAACTCATAAACTGGTTTGTCTGCTCCTTGTGCATCCCAAGGGTGCTGAGGCTTTGGAGTAGCAGACGCCCAAGGACCAGGAGAAATCTGTTGCTAGGGACTGCCTGTGCTCTCTACCTGGGCTTCCTGGTGAGCCAAGTTGGGCATGTGTCACCCCAGCATCGAAGGACACCAGAAAAGGGGCCACACCGGAACCTGGATGCTGCTGGGACACCCTTTCTGGAATTGCCCTTGGATGGCACACTGGCACCTCCTGATAGCCAAGGAAATGGGACCACCCTGCAACCCAATGTGGTCTACATCACCTTACGCTCCAAGAGGAGCAAACCTGCTAACATTCGAGGTACAGTGAAGCCCAAGCGCAGAAAAAAATATGCCCTGGCCTCCTTATCCCAGAGACAGGAGCTGTGGACTAAACCATCCATCCGGCCCCATGGGCTGGCAGTGACAGCAGATGCTGATGTCCACAAGGAACAGGTGGACAGGGGCTGGGGGCGTCCCTGGAGACTGGCCCAGAGACCAGCCCTCCAATTGCCTAGAACTGTAGAGAGCAACATTAGGATATATAGTGAGAGTGCCCCATCATGGTTGAGCAAAGAAGACATCCGTGGGATGCGTTTGTTGGCGGACAGTGCCATTGGAGACATCCAAGAATTGCCTTCTTGGACTGGGGCCCGCTTGTTGGTGCTGGAGGGGAACTCGAAGAACAAATGGCCTTCTTGTGGTACCAGTCCTTGTGGTTTGCTCAAGAGACCCTTGGACATGAGTGAGGTGTTTGCTTTCCACCTGGACCGTATCCTGGGCCTCAACAGAACCCTGCCATCTGTGAGCAGGAAGTCTGAGTTCATTCAAGGTAACTTTTCTCTCCCTTTGCAGCTTCTGGGAACTCTTAGATTTTTCTCCTCTTTCTTTCTCTTTATTTTTCTAAATGGTCTTCCCTGCTCATATTTCTCTATTGGCCAGCAACAACATCAGCAGAATTTCTTTCCATAGAGTTATCATTCATTAATATCTTAGTAGACTATGGGAGTTTCAGAGAAGTTTGGCTTTGGAGAAAAAAAATGAACTCATTGGCTAATTGGGCACCCCTAGAGATCTCAGTCTACTTCCCAGTGGCTTATTAAAGCTTATTATATCCAATGGTAATTAGGGAGAAGAGGTGGCTGGAAGGGAAGAGTTAGTGACTGCCCTAATCAACAACCTAGGGGCAGAGTTTATTGTTTTTAAGTATATTAAGGATTATTGAATACCTTTACTAAAGACAGAATGGAAGAGAATTAAGTTCAACCTACCGTTGCTCTGGATTTGAGCAAAATACAAAAACAAATTTGCTGGCAAGCAGAGTTGTTAACAGACTACACCATTAAAACACACAAGCAAATCCACTTTAAATACCTTCAGTCTTTCCAAGATGTCATTTTTCTGGTGTGGGCACTACCTTCACAGGCATCAAGAAGAATTCCTCCACAGTGTAATAGTCTGTGTTGGAGACTTGCTGTGGCTGATGAATTCATTTGCTTGAGACCAACCTGGTCATGAACTTCTCCAAAATTAGTGAGGATAGGCTAGTACATGAAACCTTTCCAATCAATAGCTCCTGCCAGAACTTTTTAAACAGGATCTCAGACTTGAAGCTAGAAGGGGCCTTAGAACCATATAATCTCATTTTACAATTGAGGAAATTGAGGCCTGAGAAGGTGAAATGATTTGCCTGAGGTCACTCAGGTTGTGTAAGATGTGGGATTTGAACCCATGTTCTGGGACTCCATTGGTGCAAATCTATCAAGGACCAGGGTCACCTCTAAATCACACTAAAGCATTGGAGGAAGATGCTAGTGTAGAGTAGCTGGAATAGCCATTGGCACTCCTGGGAATCCAGTTCCTGAGACTTAATCAGGATGGGCCCTTTGCTGCAATGTCTTCCACATATACGGATGTTTTCAAAGCCCCTCCATCCACCTTGTTTCATTTGATCTTCATTGTCCTATGAGGTAGTAGCCTTTAAAAATAGGGTAGTTTTCCTTCTTGGAAGACTGACGTGTAGTTAAAAGGCAAGAGAATGAATTAGTTTTCCTCTCAAAGTCCCTTTCATGGGGCAGCTAGGTGGCACAGTGGGTACAGCACCGACCCTGGATTCAGGAGGATCTGCGTTCCAATTGGGCCTCAGACACATAACACTTACTAGCTGTGTGACCCTGGGCAAGTCATTTAACTCCATCACCTAGCCAAAAAACAAAAAATCAAAGTCCCTTTCATTACTGATTCTAGAATTGTAATTTTTTTGGAGGTGGGGTGAATCCTCTATGTAGGTTGTATACCATTTGGCACAATCCAGAAAGGGCCCAATCACTGCATATGGAGAGAGCTCTAGCTAAGAGCACTGTGTCACTGCCATACCAGGCCAGGGGATATAATCAGACCCCAAATCTTATCCATGAAGTGGTTCCAAAATGCTGATTCAAATTAGGATGCTTCTGGTCAACTTTTTCATTATTTTTACTTTTTTGTACAAATTTTAGATTTTATTAGAATATTAGAATTAGATTATTAGAATATTAGAATATAAACTCTCAAGGAGCTTATATTCTAATGGGGGAAACGTCATATACACACATTGGTACATATCAGATGAATCCCAAGAAGCTTTACAGTAAACTTTTGAAGGGAAGACTTGAGCAGCTGAGGGGACTGGGAAATGGCTTCTGGAGAACGTGGCACTTGAGTCTTAAAGGAAGTCATAGATTCTATGAGTCTGAGATGAGGAGGGAGAGCATTCTAGGTATGAGGGACAATGAGTGCAAAGTCCTGGAGGTGGGGAATGGAGCATGTGTGTGAGGAACAGAAAGTAGGCTAATACTGCTGGATTATAAAGTTCGTAGAGGAGAGTAATGTATTCAAATTGGAAAGAGTCCATGTTGTAAAGGGCTTTAAATGACAAACACAGGAGTTTATTTTTGGTTCTAGAGATAATTAGGAGCCATTGGAGCTTTCAATTGCTGGTGGAGGCAGAAAGGTGACATGTTTAGAGAAATCACTTAGGCAGCTTTGTAGCACAGGGACTGAGGTAGGGAGATACTTGTGGCTGTGAGCTCCATAAAAAAAAGTGTATTTCGAAGTACCAGGTGGGTGGTGATGATGGCCTGAAATAGAGCAATAGCTGAATGAGTATAGAAAAGGGGACAGAAGATGAAAGATGTTGTAAAGAAAAAAAATTCCGTGATTTGGCAATTGATTGGGTATGTACATTGAAAAAAATTGAATGGGGAGTCAAGGAAACATTGAAGCTGCAAGTCTAGGTGGCTGAAATGAGAAGTCTTTTTGTTTTTTAAGAGAAACAGGGAAGATTGGGAGAAAAGGAGTTTTTAGAGGAAAGATAAGTTGTGTTTTTGACATGTGGAATTTGAGGCAGACCATTTGAAATATCCAACTGGCAATTTGTGGTGGTCAGCTAGAACTCAAGAGCTGGAAATATAGTTCTCTGAGTCCTCAGAACAGAGATGAAAATCAGATCCTATGTGAGTTGATGAGCTCAACAACAGCAGCTTTAGAGAGAAGAGAAGAGGTCCCAGGACAGACCTTTGGACAATACTCACAGAGGGCATGATATGGATGATTGTCTAGTAAAAGGAAACTAGGAAGGAATGATCAAACAGGTAGGAGGAGAACCGGAGAGCTCAGTGTCATGAAAATCCAGAGGAGAGGTTATCCCGGAGGAAAGCTGGTTGACAATATCAAAAGCTGCAGAAAAAGGCAAGCAAGACGGGAATTAATAAAAGGCCATTTGATCTGACAGTGGAAAGATCATTGGTAGCTGTAGAGAAAGCTGTTTTAGTTGAGCAATGATGTCAGAAGTCAGACTGCAAAATATTAAGAAGAGATGAGAAGAGAGGGAGTAAAGGCAGGGTTTTTGGTTGGAATTTGGCTGAGAAAGGGAGAATAGCTTGGGAGATGGTAGGATTTAGAGTATTTTTTTAAGGATACGGAAACTTGAACATGTCTATAGGCATCCAGGAAAGAACCAGTAAATAGGGAGGGAGAGAATGAAGATACGGAGAAAGGGAGAGGATTATGGGAGCAGATTTTTAGAGGGAGTATGAACAGAGGTGGATGTGGAAGGGTTGGCCTCAGGGAAGAGATTGGCCTTCTCTTCATCAAAGACAGGAGGATGGGGCAAGAATGGGAGATGATGACAAGGGCTAGTGTAATGTAGAGATGGGAAGAAGAAAATCCTTAGTCACAGGGAGGTTTGATGACTTATCCAGAGGCAGAATTGGAAGCCAGGCCTTCTGACTCCAGAGTCATTGCTTTTCCCATCATCCCTTGCTGTCTCCCTAATAAACTTTAGAGTGCAATATGTGTGAGCTCTTCTTATTATATTATGTTTTTATCTTATTCTTATATCTCTTATCTTATATCTCTTATCTTATTATAAGAACATTATTATATTTTTATTTTATTCCCACTTTTTGGATGGTTCTTTTTCTTCAATTACCTCCACAAAAGTCCTTACATGCCTTATTTTCATATGGATGTAACTTGGGATTCTCAAAGACACGTCAGCAGAGCAGAAGCTTTGGTCTGCCCTACAAACCTGGCAAGGCTTCACATACGGCCTGGATGACAGGCAGGCAGTCTTTCCTTCGGGGGAAAACCTAGCTAATAGTGGAGAAGAAAATTGGATACCTGCACGTTTTGGGCCACAGCCATGAAGTAGAATGTTATTTGGTTTAGTGGAGGAAACAAGCCATCAAGACTGCAGATCCGTTAAACATTTAGATTATAAAAATGACAGGCAGCTAGGTGGTTCAGTGGGTAGTGCTGGTCCTCAAGTCAGGAGCTTTTTAGACCAAATCTAGCCTCAGATACTTGCTAGATGGGTGCCATTGGGCAAATCACTTAAGCAATGTCTGCCTCAGTTCCTCAATTGTAAAATGAGGATAATAACAGCACCTATTGCCCAGGATTGTTGTGAAGATCAGATGAGATAATGGTTGTAAATAGCATTTAGCACAGTGCCTTGCATATATGCTGCTTGATAAATGCTATTATTATAATATGAATGCTCAAAGCACAGCATCCAAATATATGTGAAATATAGATACACATACAATGGGGAGATGTAACCTTAAAAGCCTCTTCTCCTTTAAGTTAGGAATCAGTGGTATGATTACTTTAGAACCCTCCCAGTGGCTGAGACAGAAAGCTAACAGGAGTAAGGTCTAATGTTGACCATCAGTGCACTTGAAGTAACTAAAGCTAGATATGGATGTGTAAACCAAGCACATAGCAGCTCGTTCAGTCCAGACTGGGCCATGCCTTCTGTCACTGAATATGCAATTGGTTTAAATCTGTAAGAAGTCTGGGTTTTAACACTGTAGTGTGTATATACATCTATATGTATATGCACACACATGTAATAATAATAATATCTAAAATTTTTAGCCAAGTTTTGCAAAGTGCTTTACATGTTTAATAATACCTATCTTTAATATGGCTCTTTAGAGTTTGCAAAATGCTTTATAATATAATAATAATAACTAATATTCATATATACTTTAAGATTTGTAATGTACTTTATAATACAAAAATAGCTATATATATATCTATGATGCTTTATGGTTTGCAAAGCACTTTACACATATAATAATAATAACTATAGCTAACATTCACATAATACTCAAAGGTTTACAAAGCACTTTATAACATAATAATAGCTAAATATATGTGTGTGTATGTACATATGCACATATGTATCTACGATGTTTTTTGGTTTACAAAGCAAAATTTATGCTCATAATAATAACAGCTAAGATTCATATGGTACTTTAGGGTTTGCAAAGCATTTTGCTTATA